CTTGATGTTTTCTCGTCGCCAAAATATATGCCTGCTCTGTCAAATTCATTTTTGCGTTTTCGGCAATGATGACCAACGTGTCATCTAATTTTCTTTAGCGGAGGTTCAAACGGAGCCGGTTTTTCACGTCTGTCATTTCTTCTACATGTGAACAGCCATTTTGTATTGCTCTTACGTTGTCAAAGGCGGATATTAGCATTAATCACTGATTTCTATTTCGCTAATATGCAATTAAATTCCTTACTTCCTACTTCGTAGAAATTGAAATTCTTAGCCACTTCTGTTAAGAGGTGAACCACAGTATTATGCGGACGTTCGTCGGTTGGACATCTGAAACACCAACAAGTCTAATAGCTGCTAAATTAGTAGAATTCCATAACGCCCAGGATTTGAAAGTTATAAGAATTCACTTGGCACAACTAGACACAGAGGATCAATAATGGGCAGTTTAAGTACTTCGATTTCATACAACTAATCTTTAAGTATTTTAGTAAGTACCTTTAAGTATTGGAGTGGAAAGACGGATGTCCATCACTGCAAAAGCCCGCCTGTGCCTCCCCTAAGTAAGATCAGTGTTGCAATACATCTGACAGACCGGTGTTCTAAGGAAATGCCGTAAAAAGAGAATTTTGCGAATAAAAAGAAAAATGGGAAGACGAACATATGGGCAAGAGCACAAACCATGCTATTGCCTGAGTGAACAGTCTGAAACAACAAATTGTAGGACATATTGAAAGAAGAACCGACTATGGCTGGTTCATAGAGACACTAGACTGAGTTACGAGAGATTAAAAGCGGTCCGTAGGATGACCACCAGATTGACGGCAAGACGAGCTTAAAAACTTTGTTGAATCAAGAATGAAAAGAATCATAGTAAACAGGTGTTAGTGATAAAGTTTTAGAAATGCCATAATCCAGCAGTGGATCAAAAAAGGCTGACGCAGTTATATGTATTTAACAATTTTGCTATATGGGATTGTTCACTACGTCGTTAAAGAAACAGTTCTTCTACGAATGCAGATATGTCTCCGCATTTTTTGTCTTTGTGATATGTTGCATGCGTATATGCAAATAGGTCGATCATTCCAATAACTAGAGAATCCACCCCTACGCAGTGTTCAGCGACAAGGCTACGAAACCAGGTGGGTAAAGGACTGGTCTGTGGTCTCCTAATGATCAACCAAGACGAAGACCAGCTTTTACTACGAAACTTCACATTATAGCAATATAGTCGTTTTAGTATTCGTGGCGGAAGATATACATTCCCCTCTTCGTCCCTCTGAGCCTCACAAGGCTGAGGAGACTGCAATGCTGCCCTGATGCATAAAAGAAAGCAATGCGAGAAAGATGATTACTAAAACCAAAGCGACATAATTATTAGTGCCTAATTTACTAAATCAATCACAATCTGCTACTAGTGTTGAAATGGTAGTCTGTGCTAACTAAATGCTCTACGGTTCGATGATTTAAGCATATGATATGACTCGGATACTGATTAATTAATGATTGTCCTAGAGAGGTAGGGCAACATTGCTAAGGTCTCAGTGGTTCACAAGGGAACTGGAATATGTGTGTAGTTCACCGCTAATGAACAAACTTGTGATCAGACAAGGTCGTTCTACGCATTTACTTAACCAGTAGGCATGAAGTACAGCCACCCTAACGACTGGGATCATGCATAGCAACCCATGAAGCCTGTTGTTTAAGGATATCCATCCGGAGGACCAGATTATTAATATTCAGAATACAAAATTCAGAGGTCATCGATTGGAACAGAAATCTTGTTATTTCAGTTTAACATTGTCAAGAACTTCCAACCTTATAATATATGAAGAAGGGTCGAATCTTATCCAGAACTGCACTTAGGTCTCAAAGAGTTCGCAAATGAATGAAAAAGCTATTCTACATTTGAATGGCACTGCACGAAACGACATAAAAAATCGTGCCACGGTTAATAGTGCGGCCCCTCCGCAGTTCAGCCCTCAAGGTTGGAGAGGACTTTTACATAACAGTCAGAACAACGAACGATCATACAACAAACCCATACCTAAAATGCAATCCGAAAAACACAGCTGATGAAAAGCTCTATGCATAGGAATTGGTAGAAAGATTTACTTCGTTCGCTGTTTACTTAGAATGCCATTGACTTTATAACCAGGAAATGTGTGCCTATACCAGTAGAGTCGTAGAGAGTTATCAATAGTAGTCATTGTATCAGATTATACGGTAACGCCCTGCCGGTTCCTTTGCTCCATGGTGTTGGAGCAAAGGCAATGCAAGGATGCATTACCGCATGTCTGACCTCAGACCGTTCAAGCGCCGATCTAGAGTTTTGGTTCGAGCAAAATGCTGGCGGTATTGCAGCAAATGCATTTTAGTCTAAAATCGATACCAGGCGTTAAAAATACAATATATTCACAGCACTGCCAAAACTAATGTCTGTACAAGTCATTCCATCAAATCTCGGGGCAGTATCCAGCTGCCGCATTGTTTCTATAGACTCATGAGAATGATTTCGTCAAGCGATCGTTACATCGCGTCTGATCACCTGTAGGTGGAATACTGCGTCAACGTGTTGGCGGAACGAAGGTGCTATCGCCCACAACCTCGCAGCTACGGCTGGGGCAAAATGCTGGTCAACGGAGGAGCGTCGGACTCAGAACCGAGAGGACCCGAAATCGCAATGGTGTAATTAAGACTGCTATCGCGACGTTTACAGACTTTCCTTTCCCTCGTTGCCTCACAATCAATTATTGTTGATTTACACCAATACGGTGTTTTACCGTGCTTACCATGACGTCCACGAGGTCCATTCCCTTGGCGAGGATGGCGTTGTTGCGATGTATCATGCCGCTTAGGTTGTCCATGGTGTTGCGTACGGTCAACGACAACGTAAGCAGATTTCACATTCGTCTACGAACGGAGACGGCCAAACGCTAGAAGACAAGCCGATCAGCTCGTAGTGCAGCGCCGGGATGGGCTGACGAGGAAACGACTGGCTCTTGTGGCGTAAGCCGTTGCTGCCACCTGCACCGTTGCTACTT